AAACATTCGTACCACCATCAAGAACTTAAAGAATGAAGGTTTAATGATTCTTACGACATCTACATTTTACTTGCCTATTTGGTCTGGGAGTGGGGGATGGGGAATGGACTGTGCTATCAGCACTTTTGAAAATGGTTTTCTATCCTTTGCCTTCTCTGGAGGGCATGGTCTCAAGCTACCTCAACTGTAGTCACATGGTTTAAAGTTGATCAGCATCTTCAACATCATTAATAACTGTGAGGCCAACATAAGAGAGAGCTAGCCTGACTGTTGAGAGACTAAGGCAAGGCATAGCCTAATGGAGCTTGGGAGATGCAGAGTTAAAGGTTCTGCTTGCTTGCTGTACAACTGGAGGAAGAGCTGACGTGTGATTGCTACAAGACAAAACTTGCTAGACGACTGAGGAAGCCAGAGGTTTCTTGCATTTGTATAGCTACTGCACTGAACCTGGCCTTTCTCTTGTTGACTGAGAAGTTGTATGAACTAACTGAGGAATTTCTGGACTAAACCTGGAATTTCACTGTGTTAATATCCTTTGCCTCCCCCACCCTCCATCTCATTTCCTTGTTGTTGTTGTTGAGTGCCAGCAAGTCAAGGACGACTCAGAATGACCCTATGAACAAAAGGCATGAAGCCTTTCTATAACTACTGTCATTTTGTAGAGACATGTTGTTTAGGAAGTGGATGTTAATCCTGCTTCCAAATCCTATTTCCTTAATACACCCCATAACAGTGAGTAAAGCCTGTGAGTCATTGGCAATGAATTTCAGACCCAGTAATTAGTAGAAGTAGGTGTAGATGCATGTGGGTTGGGGGGAGGGTGGATATGTCAGACTTTAAAGGGAGGTAGATGCTGTTGTAGAGACAATTCACTAAGTGAAGTTAGCAGAGGTCGGACTCAGTCATCCTTTCATTGTTTCTGCTCCTTTTACATGGGTGAGTCTCAGAGAATGGCACTGGACTATCATACTTACACAAGTTGTTGTTGTTATGTGCCATCGAGTCGCTTGCGACTCATAGCGACCCTATGCACAAGAGCTCTAAATGCTGTTCTATCCTGTGCCAACCTAGCTATCTCAAACGCACTCATTCCCACCGCTCTAGTCACAGAATTGATCCATCTCACCAAAGGTCTGGCAGCATCAGCATGGATAGTGAAGAGATTGAGATAGTTAACAGTTTTAATCTACTTGGCTCCACAGTCAACACTCTTGGTAACAGCAGCCAGGAAATCAGGAGACGAATTGCATTGGGAAAGTCGGCTGTGAGGGACCTCTCAAGAGTACTGAAGAGCAACGATGTCAGGCTGGAGACTAAGGTGCGCCTGATCTGGGCTATAGTCTTTGCAATTATGTGCTATGCATCAGAGAGTTGGACAGTGAATAGGGCTAATAGAAAGAGGATTGATGCCTTTGAGCTGTGGTGCTGGAGAAGAGTGTTGAATATACCATGGACTGCTAGGAGAACAAACAGGTTTGTCCTGGAGAGGGTGAAGCCAGAGTGTTCCCTGGAGTCAAGGATTCTGAGGCTTCGTCTGACATCTTTTGGGTATGTTGCAAGGAGGGACTGGTCCTTGGAAAGGGACATCATGTTTGGCAGAGTGGAGGGACGGCGAAAGAGAGGAAGACTTACATAAGTAGTGACTCCAATTGCTGTTATTCCAGCTGTAGTTTCATTGCTTCAGCAAAATGACACATCTCTTAGTATGTAGTGTGCAGCCTTTTATCTAGTCAATGCCTTTTTCTTAATTCCACTTTCAAAGTATCAGAAACAGTCTACAGTCAGATGGCAAAGGCAGTGATATTCCTTCACTATCCTACACCTATCAACTCTCCAGCACTGTATCATAATTTAGTTCTCAGGGACCTCAATTGCATTTCCCTTCCACAAGATGTCACAATAGCTCATTACACTGGTGAAATAATGCTGACTAGAAATATTGTATTAGTGACTTATTGGCAAGACAATTGTGCTGTTTTTGTTGTCAGGAGCTATTAAGTCAAGTATGACTACTAGCAACCCTATGAATTCTGTCCTTTTCTGTGCCATCTTCACCATCTCCTACACACTTAAGCTCATTGCTGGAATCACTGTTATCAACTCATCTTCTTAAGGGTCTGCCTCTACCATCCATCTTTCCAAGCATGATAACCCTTTCCAAGAAATAGCCTCATTCCCAAAATGCATGAGACAAAATTTCCCCATCCTTGCCTTCAAGGAAGTACTCTGGCTGCACTTTTTCAGGGACTTCTCTAAAGTACTCAGGAGCAACGGTGTCTCTCTGGAGACTAAGGTGCGCCTGATACAGGCCATGGTATTTGCAATCGCTTGTTATGCACCAGAGAGTTGGACAATGACTAGGGAGGACAGAGGAGAGTGGATGCTTTTGAGCTGTGGTGCTGGAGAAGAGTATTGAATGTACCACGGACTGCCAGGAAAACAAACAGATTCATCCTGGAGAGGATTAAACCAAGCTACTCCTTGGAGGCAAGGATTCTGGGGCTTCGTCTGACATACTTTGGACATGTTGCCAGGAGGGACGGGTCCTTGGAGAGGGACATCATGCTTGGGAGGGTGGAGGGGCAGCGCAGGAGGGGAAGACCCTCTATGAGATGGATTGATTCGGTGACTGGTGTAATCGGGATGGGTGTGTCAGAGGCAGTGCGGTTGGCGCAGGATAGAGCAGGGTTTAGGGCTGTTGTGCACAGGGTCGCTATGAGTCGCAAACGACTCGACGGCACATAACAACAACAACAACAACATTTGTTTGTTGTTTTGTTGGTTTTTCCCCCCTGTAAATGATCACTATACACATGGACTTCATCTGATGGTCTACAGGAATCAAGTTTATTACATCTGTGGAAAAAAAAAGCCCATTGGAGAAGCTCAATATTGGCTGTGATAACTAAGCCAGGTGCTGACTGGAACAGACCATCAACTACTCATATGCAAGTTCAAACTGAAGCTAAAGAAAATGAGAATAAATCCACAAGAACCAAAATTTGACCTTGCATTAATCTCACCTGTACTTAAAAAAAAAAAAAAAACAAACATCTCAGGAACAGGTTTGAGGCCTTAAACACTAATGAATGGAAACCAGATGACCTGTGGAGGATAGCAAGAATATCATCCATGAAGAATGCAAAAGATCATTACAAAGACAGAAGAAAACAACCAAAATGGATGTCAAAAAGACTCTGAATATTACACTAGAACACTGAGAAGCCAAAGCAAAGAGAAGAAATCAAGAACTTAGAGCTGAAATTAAGGTTGCATAGAGACGTGTACTCGGTGCAGGCAGTTGGGGGAATGGAGGAACTGTAGACCAGTGAAGGAATTTTTTTTTCTTTTTCTTTTCAAAGAGAGGAACGAACTGGTGGGGAGGGGTGGGCAGGGAGAAAAGTGCAGCAATGAATGAATGGAAATCCAAAATATCTGTAAATGCTTATTAAAATTAATAAAAATGATAAAAAAAAGAAGAGCTGAATAGAAAACTTCAAAGGGTAGCACAGGAAGACAAAGCAAAGTATTACAAAGAAATGTGCAAAGAACTAGAGTCTGAAAATCAAAAGAGCCGTCCTCACTCGGTATTTCTTAACCTGAAAGAACTAAAGAACAAATTCAAACCTCAAGTGGCAGTACTTAAGGATGCTATGAACAGAATATTGGATGATCTGGGAAGCACCAAAAGAAGATGGAAGAAGTGCACAAGGTACCAAAAAGAATTGACTGACACAAAAGAGTTAGATGAAACAACATATAATGAAGAGGCAACAGTGATGAAGGAGGCAGATCAAGCTACTCTGAAGGAACTGGCAAAAAACAAAGCTCAAGGAGATGATGGAATATCAATTTTTATATTTCAAAAAACAGATTGCAGCCCTGGATGTGCTTACCAGCTTGTGCCAAGAAATCTGGAAGACAACTTCTTGCCAAATGACTGGAAGAGATCCATATTTATTCCTATTCCATAAAAGGTTGTCCAACCTAATATGGAAATTATGGAACAAAATCACTAGTATCATGCACAAGCAAAATCTTACTGAAGGTTATCCAAAAATGACTGGAACAGTGCATCAACACAGAACTACCAGAAATACAAGCTGGGTTTAGAAGAAACTGGGGCACTAGGGACATCATAGCCAATGTCAGATGGATCTTGGCTGAAAGCAGAGAACACCAGAGGAATGTCTACTTGTGTTTTATTGACTATGCAAAGGCATTTGACTGTATGGTTGACAACAAGTTGTGGCTAACACTGAGATGAAAGGGCCTGAGGAGTGTTTCATTCTGATTTACATACAGTTACCATGAGTCAGCGCTAACTTGGCAACTGACAATGACCTATGTTTATATGGCACTGATGTGAATCACTGTTAAAGCATTTAAAGACAAAGATTTGGAATTCTCTACTTATAAAGTTTGCAAAGCTTTTCACCAACTGTACATTGTTAAAAATAGTTACTTTGTTAAGTCAAATTTTCTTTCTCAATGACTTACTTCAGACCAAAGGATCTTATGTTTTCCAGAGAAAAGAGTCTCATCTTTTCCAAATAAACAAAAGCTCTTTGAGACTCTCTGTTTTCAAGTGTAAAAATGTCTTGAGACCAAAACATTGGAAAAAGATAGGTTCATGAGACAAAATGCTTCAGCTAAAATGAAACTGCCATTTCCAAGTGTATGTATCTTGGTTTCTCTGACTCAGTTTCCCCATTTGCAAAATTAAACCAGTAACACATTCTTCTTGGCTTGATTGGTGATTAAATGAGGTAATCCTTTCTAAACATTTAAACTATATGTTAATAACTAACATACAGTGAGTACTTCATATATGCTGGATCCCCATACATGTCATTAAGCCCAGAGTAACTGCATAAAACAGGTACATGACCAATGCTTTCAGATGTTGAATGTATATTATGTAGGGGATGTTGGAAAAGACATAAGATATTAATAACCCAACGGCAAATGATACTGAAAACAGAAGGGATTTACCATACCTGTCAGCCACATCCAGGTCAGATTCAATCTTGTCTAGTCCTTTCATGATATTGTCAAACTGCTCACCCTGATGGTGAAGAACTTTTGCTGTATCTTCCAAACGCTTCTGGGAACATGCCATCAAACCAGTCAGTTCCTTCCCTTTGGTCATGGTGGAGGAGGATGCCTGAACAGCAGCTCCTGGCTGAGACAACAGCAGCTCTCTCCAGAAATGCTCAATGATATTGAAAACTGCATTCCGACTAGGTTGTAAGGAACTAAACCAGTGCTTAATATGGTCCTTTTCCAGGATGGTGATGGAACTGAAGATAAAATGGGAAGCTTCTTTTTTTATCTCAATTATACTAGAAAGAGGAAAGTTAACAAGAATTGTGCCAGCTTTATCAGTGATAAATTTTAGTGAAAGAGAAGTTAATGAAAGTTTTCCAGGGAACCATCGTTTCTCAGATTCTAAATAGTAGGAGCATGGCCAAGTGTGAATACAGATGTCTCTGCTCATCTGTTTCCTGGATCAGGTTGCCACCAAGGTCACAATCTGCATCTAAAGGAAAGGACACAAATTTAAATGGGTAGATAAGATTGATGACATTAACAAGCACAGAACTACAGACTCCAGACTAACAGAACTACAGAACTACTAGGAAATTAACAAGTATGGGGTATACCTGCTGTTATGAGCTGAATTATGTCCTGTAAAAGCATGGGCTTTAAACCTTAAAACTCTATGCCTATACTTATATTATGGTTTGGGAATAGGCTGGTTTTTTATGTAAATGAGGCAGGATTGTTGTTGTTAGGTGCCCTTGAGTCAAGTACAACTCACCTCATCCTTACAAACAACAGATCTGAAACCTGTCCTATCTGGTACTAGCCTCACAATCTCTGACAGACTGCCTTTTATATTAATGAGGCAGGATTAGTACAGGGTGTATCTTGAGTCAATCTCTTCTAAGATATAAAAGAGACTAAACAAGAGAGTTGGAGCTCTTGAGGCCTAGTGGCAAGAAGTTGTGCTGCAATCTATCAGATGCTCCATGGGAGAAAGATGGGAAATATCCTCCCATATCATTAACTGCTATGGGTAGGTTCTAACTTGATAGTACTCCACAACAACAATAAATAAGACAGCAGAAGGGAGACAGCCTAAGACAGATGTCAAGACACATGGAGATCTCCAAGGAACCAGGAAGCAGAAGCTGAAAACACAAGAGCTTTCTTCACAGCTAACAAAGACAGAAAGTCTCCCTAGATAGAGTTGTTACTGCTGTGGGACCTTTTCTGGAGGGAAGAGCATAGTATACTTGTGGTCAAGACCCCCTGGAAATTTAATGACACTTTGGCAGTATCAACTATTTTATATAAGCTCCAACTTTGAGAAAGTCCAATTTTAGAATCTGAGCATTCAAAGAAATGTAGTACACAATTTAGGTCCAAAGTAGTATATAGATAAGGAAACAAAATATACACATTTAAAAATGGGAAACAATAGAACTCCATATTAGTGCCTACAGAGTAAAGGCAATATTAAAGAATCCTATTGTGTAAAGTTAAAAGTCCTCATTTCACATACTTTGGCATGTTGTTAGGAATGGCCAGTTTTTGGTAAAAGATACCATGCCTGAAAAGGTAGAGGGGTCAGCAAATGAAAAGAAGACCCTTGATGAGATGGACTGACACAGTGACTGTATAAATGGGTTTGAGTACATCAGAGTTAATAATAAAGCTGGTACAAGATAAGGCAAGGTTCAGAGCTATTGTTCATATGGTGGCTATGAGTCATAGGAGACTTGACAGCATCTTACAACAATAAGAGAATTCTGAAGGAGATTGCTGAGAATTACAACAGGCAAGGAAGGCCTACTTACAGTCTTGAAGAAGATGGTAGGGCTAGAATACTAAACAAACAGAGAAACCAAACCCCAAACAAAACCTGAGTTCTGGTGGCAAAGACCATAATGAGTTATGCTGGTAATCCAAAGGTCTCAGCTATCTAGTGGTTCAAATCCACCAGCAGCACCTACCAAGAGGATGAGCAATCTCCTCCCACGAGATTGACAGCCTCCAAAAACCCGAAGGGTCAGGAGTAGAACAGAAAGGAGAAAGACAAAAAATAGACTGCATTCCAGCTAAGCATTTCATTTGGCATCAGTCTACGATGATGAGAAACAGAGTGCTTGGGTTTTTTAAGGGTGGTGGCTGTTGTTGTTAGGTGTCACTGAGTCTAGTGTGATCCTATTAACAACAGATTTGAACAAATAAAACAGCTGCAGCAAGAAAGCTTTAGGCTTTCTTAACTAAAATAAGGAGATTATGTATTTACAGACACAGATACACCTATATGCCTGTATGTGCAATGTTGTTGTGTGCCATTAAGTCAGAACCTATCCGGATAACTGACCCTCCAATGAGTTTTCAGAGGCAGTAAATCTCAGGGGAGGAGAATGCCCATCTTTCTCCTGTGGAGCACTAGCCTTTGAGATTACAGCACAGCTCCTTATCACTAGGCCACCAGAGCTCCCTATATGTGCAATAGGTTATTTCTCTCACTACCATGGACTGCCAGGAAAACAAACAGATTCATCCTAGAGAGGATTAAACCAAGCAACTCCTTGGAGGCAAGGATTCTGGGGCTTCGTCTGACATACTTTGAACATGTTGCCAGGAGGGACAGGTCCTTGGAGAGGGACATCATGCTTGGGAGGGTGGAGGGGCGGGCAGCGCAGGAGGGGAAGACCCTCTATGAGATGGATTGATTCGGTGACTGGGGTAATCAGGATGGGTGTGTCAGAGGCAGTGCGGTTGGCACAGGATGGAGCAGGGGTTTAGGGCTGTTGTGCATAGGGTCGCTATGAGTCACAAATTACTCGACTCCATGGCACATAACAACAACAACCATTAGTCTGAACCAATTCATAGCTGGCCCTCTAGCAGTTGTTTTGTTTTGTTTTTTTGAAGCTGTTAACAGTACAAGAGGAGAATGACCATTTTTCTTCCACATGGAGCACCTGATGGATTCAAAGAGCCAAAGGTGTGTCACTTTTGGGTAGGATCAGAGCACCAGAGCTCTATCTCATTAGGTTAGTTATTGATAAATTATCTAGTTAATGAATAATCAGAAAACAACGCATTGAGTTGATTAGTATGACTCTATCCCTGCCAGCATAAAGGCCACAAAGCAGTCATTTGAACAAAGAACAACAGAAAATATTTGTTTCTCAGACTAGTGGGTAAGAATAAGGGTTAGTCATATCCATTTAAATATGGTTTACAAAGTGCTTCATGATACCTTAGGGTATCCAAAGCCTAAGATAACAATGAAAATTACACAAAACAAAACAGGAAACTGCCAAAAATTCAAGTTGGATTCAGAAGAGGCCATAGAACGAGGGATATCATTGCTGGCTGATGGTCTTGGCTGAAAGCAGAAAATACCATAAAGATATTTACTTGTAAAAAAAGAAAAATTTAAAAAAGGTATTTACTTATTTTTTATTGATTATACAAAGGCATTTTTTTACAATGTGGATCACAACAAATCATGGTTAACACTGAGAATGGGAATCTCAGAACACTTAACTTGAACTTACGCATAGAAAAGAAGCTGCTGTCTGAGAACAAGGGAACACTGCATAGTTTAAAATAAGGGACGGTATGCATGACAGTTGAATTCTTTCTTCCTATCTATTCAATCTGTATGCTGAACAAATAATTCAAGAAGCTGGACTCTATGAAGAGGAATGGCATCAGGATCACATGAAGAATCATCAACAACCTGCCTTATTCAAATTGGAGAAAGTAGTTTTGAAGTACTTACTGAAGAAGGTCAAAGACTATATCGTCTTCAATATGGATTACATTTGAACACCAAGAAAACAAAAATCCTTACCATTGAAGGTGTCAACTATTTCATTTCAGTTGGATCCACAATCAACAGCCATTTATAGTAGCAGTCAAGAAATCAAAAGATGGGCTGCACTGGGAATTGTGCTGTCAAAGACCTCTTCAAAGTGCTAAAGAGCAAAGATGTTCGTTTAAAAACAAAGATGCACCTAATCCAAGTCCTGGTCTTTTCACTTGCCTCTCAAACATCTGAAAGTTGGACAACGACTGCAGAAAACCAAAGAATTGATGCCTTTGAAATATGGTTCTGATGAAGAGCACTGACTATATCATAGACTGCCTAAATAAGAAACAAATCTGTCTTGAAGAAGTGCACCCAGGGTGTTCCTCAGAGACAAAGGTGGTGCAAATTCATTTCATGTACTCTGGCAATGTTATCAAGAGGGGTCAGACATCGGGAAAAGAGATCATGTTGTGAAAGGCAGGTCAGGGAAACAATGACCCCTCACTGAGAGTGACTCTAATAATGGATTCAGGTATGTTGGAGATCATGATGAGGATGACACATGACAGAGCAAAGTTCTATCTGTTGTTCATAGGATCTCCATGAGGTGTAGTTGACTTAACAGCACCTAATAACAAGACAAACAAAGCAGGCAGAACAAGGAGCCTCATGACTCTCATAACAATATATTTGTTGTAGTTGGTAGCACTTGTTATCCCCTAATACAGCTTTACTCTTGGCCCTCCTGGCTGTAAGGAGCCTCCACTATTAAGCCACACTAACTTAACTTTAGTGATCCATACACCCTGACTCCCAAGAAGTGTCATCTCCTTGGCAAAAGAGGCCCTACCTTCTTCATTATCATATCCCTGTCGGTCTGAGAGTTTCACATGGTATAGAAACTGAAGTTAAATCACTAATTACCTGACCCTAGTCATTCTTAAGTATGTTCTAGGGAGAATTATACAAGCACTGAATGAAATGATGTACAAATTCCCCAAAGAATTAATGAGTCTGGCATTGCAGCATCAGAGGAAGTATGCTGTAGTTCCAATTCCAGTTCTGCCACACACTTTATGACTCTGGAAAAGTTACTTCACCTTCTGGCACTCCATTTCTCCACCTTTAAAACAACTAGACCTCAGAACAACATCAACCATCAGCTCTTCTACAACATTCTAAGATTTAAAAAAAATCAAGAAAGAAAGAGAACCATCAAACACTTCTCATTTCTGGACAAAGAACAATCAGTATGAGAAAAGTATTCAAATTTCACAAATACTAAGGAAGAAGCAAAAGGAGAAACATGTGGCCACAAATGTTTCCTACCACAGATTTCCATGGCATCTTTCCCAACAAACCAAAATAAACAAAGAATAAATGGAAGGGCAAAGCAAGAAAAACAGTCTCATAATGTCTTTAACTCATACTTGTAGCCCAAGCTTGTAAATGATCCCACCTAAACTCACCCCATGTCCTTCCTCTGTAACTCCCATCTTAGAACTCCACTGTCCTAGCACTCTGTCAGCGTAACTGCCTGCACCTCTCCAAGTCCACCCACCCCACCCTGGTCTTGTCTTTCTCCTCATTCCCATGCACAGTCCTTGGAAGAGCGTCCTTGCTGCTCTTGAAGATTAGGTCTTCCTCTTTATTTC